CAGGGTGCCCGCCCTAATGTACGTATTTCTATTCTACTCCTCTCAAGTGAGCTGTCCTAGAAGATGACTCGGGAAAACGCAGTTATTTACCTGTTAACTGTATTTCCAGGAATCTTCTAGGACAGCGTAACTCCCCCCCGATTACTGTTTGATCACACATTATGTGCAGGTATGTTGCGAACCTATGGGGGATGTCTTTATTACCGGTTTTCTTCTTTGTTTTCTCCTAGGCCTTCGGTCATATTCTTATACTGGGGGCCAATGGGAGAGAGGACGCCTATAAAGGGAAAAAAAAGGTGGAGCGGGTGTTTCCTGGGAGGAGCCCTATCTCTCAAGTGAGCTGTCCTAGAAGATTCCTGGAAATACAGTTAACAGGTAAATAACTGCGTTTTTTTTCCTCGCAAATTGTCAGTTTTATGTTTATAGCGTAAAAAATAAAAACCGCAGAGGCGATTGAATACTACGGAAAGAAAGCTCCATTTGTGGGGAAAAAAAAGAACATAAATTTAATTTGGGTGCAGCGTTGCATGAATATGCAATTGTCAGTTAAATTAACGCAACGCTGATGACCTATTTTTTTTTTTTATTTCTTTTATTAGATTTTTTTAATTACAAAAAGAGAATTACATAATAATAAATTTGAGAACAGAAAAAGCTAAAAACGATAGCAAGCATCTCCCGTGCCAATTACCTCATATCATGTTTTCCCTTAACCCCCTCTTCCCTCCCCTCTCCCCCCCAAATTCCCTAAAACCACACCACTTTCTCATCTTTCTTATCGTTATCAGTCTGTATCTGTATTCCCTTCTTCCTGTCCCCTTCTCTCTGTGGGCCATCCATAAAAGCTCCCCCAAATACTCATTTACTTATATTCCAAGCAATTCCACATATCTTTTACTTGTTTTAAAAACCAACCACTTACACCATGTTTTACTAAATTTTTCCATTTTTATCCTCTTCAATATGACACAGCTCCTCCATCCTATAAATTTTAGCTTCTCTATTTACCCAGTCATTCATACTTGGTGGATCAGGGGCAAGCCAAAATTTGGGAATCAGGCTCTTTCCTCTCTCTAGACCCCTCTGACCATCCTTTTAGGTCCAATTTCTGTAAATCTAATTTTTCACAAAATTCATTAAATTCTTCTGGAAATCTCAGTCTCGCCGATCTTCCATCTTTCCACCTAATTAGACATGCTGGAAAACCCCAGTTACATGGAATTTTCTCTATCATATGGTCCAGCAAAGGTTTCAAAGTTCTCCTTCTAGTCAGTGTCTCTAGGGAGATATCCCTGAAAATGTGCAGGGTTGTTTCATCATATTTTATTTCAGTGCAATCCTGCATTGCTTTCCATATTCGCTCCCTGTCTCCCAAATGATGGAACTGGACAATCACATTTCTGGGATTTTCTACCGATATTCCCTTTGGTCATCTAACCCTATGCACTCTTTCAATTTATCTTCCACTGGTTTTCCCATAATTGGATTATAGATTCTCTCCACTTTCTCCTGTAGATCCTCTTCCTGTCCCCATTCTTCTGGAAGACCTCTAATCCTTAAATTATTTCTTCTATTGTGGTTTTCCTGATCTTCTACCATAAACGATAACTTTCTCTGTTCTTGTTGTGCATATCCCTCCATTTTCCCCTCAGCTTCTTTAATTCGGGTTAATATCCGACCCAAACCAGTGCGGAGTGTTCCGATCTAATTTTTCATGGTCATCTCTAATTTTGTAAACATTTCCACCAACTAATTTTTTAGAAGTGATTGTGACATAAGTCCTTGCTATTCCATATTTCCTGCACTTTATTTATAGGTTCTTTACAGTGGTTCCCTTCCACTATTCCGGTTGAAAGTCTGGATTGATCTCTTTCATATTTTTTTGATCTTTCATAATGATTCTCCCATGCTTGAGACTCAGAGCTTTTATCCCTGTGGGTGCATGTGCTTTCTTATGGTGCTAGTATTTACGCTTGATTGGCAGGTTTGTGGTCCCCCCCCCTTTAGTTGATCTACTCTTCATTGCTGAGGCGTTTCAGCAAATTGCCCTCTGTTCCTTTATATAAGAAATGTTAACTCCAGGACAGCCCACTTTTCCTTCTGCGAATTAGTCCTAGAAGTCCCGTTATACTTTATTATAAAAGGGGACCCTCCAACCTCCAAGGCCCACCATACATAATCTTTTCTTTCGCCACAGTCATCAATACATGTACCAATTTATTTCAGGAAATGACAGTTCTTAGAAGATTTTATTAATCACTACCTGCGGCAACTCACCCTCCACTTGCGTGCCGAGTATACGTAGCTGTTCATCCTCTCTCCCAGCCAGGAATCATTCTGAAGGGCCCCCTTCAACTCTGCGGTCTTGGGGCATCTGGGGTAGCTTCCAGAACTCAGAGTAAGCTATTTTATTAATGTCCAGGAAGGCTGGATGTTCCTACTGCGTGGGCTGCCAGGCTGCTGCCTTATTTTGCTTCAGGGCTCTGAAGGACACTGCACCCCCTTCGTTCAGGGAGCTCCACGGGCACCCCCGGGTCCTTACGTCCTCCAGCTCCTCTTCCAGCCGCCAGAGCTACCGAACCTCTCCGGCCCTCAGTCCCCATCGGACGCCCACAGACACCGCCACTCTCACTGACCAGCCACAGATGTCTCCCAGGGACCTCCACCGCACCGGCCGCCAGCAGAACTACTGGCAACCAGACTGCTCACCTTCTGGCCGCTGGACACAGGGCCCGGGTAGGTTAAACTTTTGGAGCTCAGACAGGCGTCTGGAACTTATCCAGCACGCTGCTTCACAGTGCCATGCTCCGGCTCCTCCCCCCCCAGCGCAAAATGACCTATTGATGAGGTCATAAAGTGAGGTGAGCAGGCTTTTCACCTAATGGTGGTGGCATGGTTGGCACTGAAGAAGAGAGATTTATCTTATACACATTGCACAGTGGTGTTATAAGAGACTTTTGTATTGTTTAATATTTATTTTTATGAGATATTAGTCTGTTGTGCTACACTTTATTGTTATTCATTGAACTCTTGTAATAGTTTATGCTGAATACTCTGCAATATCCTATTGTACCATACCAGGGCAATTTATCAATAACAGGCACATTTTTAAATTGACCACATTTATATGTTCCACTATGCACTTGTTAATATACCGTATTTGCCGGCGTATAAGACGACTTTTTGACCCTTGAAAATCTTCTCAAAAGTCGGGGGTCGTCTTATACGCCGGTACACATGTTAGGGGGGCTGCGGCATTAAGTACAGGGGTTTGCAGGGGCTGACATCTCTTACCTGGATCCAGTCCCACGACGATCCGGTCCAGGAAGCGCGGCGTCTCCTTCAGTTCGGCCACTGGATGTTCGTGCAGCTGCGCGGCTACGCCTCCTCACCGGTGATTGGCCGCCAGAACTGTAGCTCAGGAAAGGCACACAGGCGGCCAATCACCGGCGAGGGGGCGGAGCCGAGCGGCCCCGCGAAAATTGAGTGCCGGAGCAGCAGGTAAGTGCTCTGTGTAGAGGTGCTGCTGCAACCGCATATGCTGGCTGCAGCAGCACCGTACTAGAACAGGGTCAGCAAGTGTCAGTGGGAGGAATAGTGCCCCATCATTGGTGTCACTGATACCAATGATGGGGCACTATTCCTCCCACTGATACCAACGATGGGGCACTATTCCTCCCACTGACACCAACGATGGGGCACTATTTCTCCCCCCCACTGACACCAACGATGGGGCACTATTCCTCCCCCCCACTGACACCAACGATGGGGCACTATTCCCCCCCCCACTGACACCAACGATGGGGCACTATTCCTCCCCCCACTGACACCAATGATGGGGCACTATTCCACCCCTCACTGACACCAATGATGGGACACCATTCCTCCCACTGACACCAATGATGGGGCACTATTCCTCCCACTGATACCAATGATGGGGCACTATTCCTCCCACTGATGCCAATGATGGGGCACCATTCCTGCCACTGATACCAATGATGGGGCACCTATTCCCCCCACTGATACCAATGATGGGGCACTATTCCTCCCACTGATACCAATGATGGTGCACTATTCCTCCCACTGACATCAATGATGGGGCACTATTCCTCCCACTGACATCAATGATGGGGCACTATTCCTCCCACTGGTGTGCATTGGAAGAGGGGTAGTCTTATACGGCGAGTATAGCCCAAACACTACATTTTAGCAGGAAAAGTAGGGGGGGTCGTCTTATACGCCCAGTCATCTTATACGCCGGCAAATACGGTATATGAAAATAGTGCCTGACTGCACTCCTGTACCGTAAACTCATCAGTAAACCAAATAAGTGTAATTGGCTTCAGTGCTCATTCCCCATCCATAGACATATTCCCGAATATGCTTTGTCCACGTGGGGCTTAGTCATAGAAGCTTCTTTCACTTATTAAGTTTACTTACTGTATGTACGGATACAGTGTGCCGGTACTGAGTGCTTATATCAAGCAGAGTTTGATGAGCCAGTGTCTTTCTCCTCCAGGACGAGCCATCAATGTAGCCAGTGGAGATGCTATTCACTGAGCCATCTGAGCGGTATCATTTTTTTATGTTTTGGACCCTTGTTTAATATATGTTAGTATCCTATATGCAAGTCTGTATGATTGGGGGGGGGGGCAGGTGAACTTTAAAAAGATATTTGTGTACATGAAATATATTTTATTAATTCATAATTATTTCTTATTACAACACAAGTAATACAAATAGGCTACTTCAGGAAAGATACACAGATACTGTTTTATGTACAATAATTAAATGTTGCAATAAAATATAAATATTTTAGTAGAGAAAAAAAAGAAATATGTCACAAGTTTTTGTTATGTAAAATAAAAAAATGGAATGACAAGAGTATACAGCAAGTTGAAGTGTAAGTGGTGAAAATGAACCACCTGCTTACATCAATTTCGTGGACAATGGGATCTTTATATTTACAAAATCCTAGTAAAAGGTAATATCCAGGGTTCTTAGTGCTCAGCGGTTGCACTCTCCTGCTCATTGTCACCATTTTTCGGGGGAGCTTCTCCTGGTATTAGACACTGCACCTCCTCTGCGTTCAGAGCCACTTTCTCTGGCTGAAGCCATCGCTTCAAATGTTCTAGCGTGCTGGAAATGTGAAAATTGAAAAGAGAAAGAAATCAATAGGTGTAGGCAGCTAAAAATAAAGTCAAGGCAGTTTAGTTTAAGTAAGGATAATGAGCTGTGATTTAATAAGTTAAAGCTAAACTGGAGATTAGACAAAGTTCTTTCTTGCAGTGGGCCCTGAACAGTTTAAATGCTTGTTTATACTATTTACCGTATTCCTGGCTCTAGCAGGCTTCCCCCATCCATGTGACTAGTCCAGTGGTGTCATATCTCTAAGGTGCTGCCGTTTGCATGCTCACCTCCTATATGTACAATGCAAGGTTGTTAGCCCTGCGCTGTATGCATTGATGCTGAAGGTCCACCCTCAGCCCCGAAACTTCTTGTAGAATGAGTTTCTACATCCCAAGTTTTTAATTTTTTTTCACTCAATAAATTTGATATTTATTTAATTTTTTTAATTTGCTTATGTTAATAGACTTGACAACCTCATTCTGTTTATTAGGAATGAGTTTTGTATATAATCATTCATTGCTGTGAATGCAGTAGGCTTTAAAGGCTAAGTTCACCTCCTGAACATGTTACATGTTCCCTGTACCTGCCGTCACATTTTTAAATCAACATGGCTGTGAGGGCTCCGCCCACACAGCAATGTCCTTCAATCAGAGAAATCTGTGAAAGAGAAAACTAGAAGTTCTGTCTGCCACTGCGGCTGACAGACTTATAGTTTGAGTGGGCCATGAGCGTACTGATTAGCATACTTGTAGTCCATTCAAATTTCCCCCCAGCTTCCAAGCTAACAGCACATACACAGGTACAGGCTAAAAGCTGGAGGGAGACTGCAGGAGCCTGAAATTGAAACCCTTGATCTGCTGATGACAGGTGAAATACTTTGCAGGCTTCCGTTAAAAAAAAATAATAAATGCACATTTTTTTTACCTTCATGAATACCAAAAATAATAAAATGCATGTTAACTGTGAACTTATCATTTAAGGTACACTATATCTTGCCAAAAGTATTGGGCCGCCTGCCTTTACGCACACATGAACTTTAATGGTATCCCAGTCTTAATCTGTAGGGTTCGATATTGAGTTGGCCCACCCTTTGCAGCTATAACAGCTTCAACTCTTCTGCGAAGGCTGTCCACAAGGTTTAGGAGGGTGTCTATGGGATTGTTTGACCATTCTTCCAGAAACGCATTTGTGAGGTCAGGCATTGATGTCGGACGAGAAGGCCTGGCTTGCGATCTCTGCTCTAATTCATCCCAAAAATATTCTATCGAATTGAGGTGCAGGCCAGTCAAGTTCCTTCACCCCAAACTAGCTCATGCATGTCTTTAGGGACCGTGCTTTGTGCACTGGTGAACAGTCATGTTGGAACAGGAAGGGGCCATCCTCAAACTTGGGAGCATGAAATTGTCCAAAATGTATTGGTATGCTGACACCTTAAGAGCGCCCTTCACTGGAACTAAGGGGCCAAGCCCAACCCCTGAACAACAACTCCACACCATAATCCCCCCTCCACTACACTTTACACTTGGCACAATGCAGCCAGGCAAATACAGTACTCCTAGCAACCACCAAACCCAAACATGTCTATAGGACTGCCAGACATAGCAGCATGATTCGTCACTCCAGAGAACATTTCCACTGCTCTAGAGTCCAGTGGCAGTGTGCTTTACACTACAGCATCCAACGCTTTGCATTGCACTTGGTGACGTAAGGCTTGGATGCAGCTGCTTGGCCATGGAAACCCATTCCGTGAAGCTCTCTATGCACTGTTGTTGTGCTAATCTGAAGGCCACACAAAGTTTGGAGGTCTTTAGCGACCAACTCTGCAGAAAGTTGTCCACTTCTGTGCACTGTGTGCTCCGGCATGTGCTGACCCCTCTCTGTCATTTTACGTGGCTTACCACTTCGTGGCTGAGTTGCTGTTGTTCGCAGTTGCTTCCACTGTTATAATACCACTAACAGTGGACCATGGAATATTTAGTAGCAAGGAAATTTCATGGATGAACTTATTGCACAGGTGGCAACCTATCACCGTACCACGCTTGAATTCACTGAGCTCCTGAGAGCGACCCATTCTTTCACAAATGTTTGTAGAAGCAGTCTGTATGCCTAGGTGCTTGATTTTATACACCTGTGGCCATGGAGGGGTTGGAACACCTGAATCCTATGATTTGGAGGGGTGTCCCAATACGTTTGGCAATATATAGTGTATATGTAAAACACTAATTACTAAAATCTCATTTAACCACATGCCCTCCTGAGGATTTACCCCCCTTCCTGACCAGGCCATTTTTTGCTGTTCGGCACTGCGCTATTTGCTGTTTTGCAATGCTGTACCCAAATTAAAATTGTTCTTTTTTTGCGCACAAATAGAGCTTTCTTTTGGTGGTATTTGATCACCTCTGCAGTTTTTATTTTTTGCGCTATACACAAAAAAAAAAGACCGAAATTAAAAAAAAATATATATACATATATTTTTCACTTTTGGTTATAAAATATATCCAATAAACTCAAAGTTAGTCAAATTTATGCTAAAATGTATTCTGCTACATGTCTTTGGTAAAAAAAAAAATCTCAATACATGTATATTAATTGGTTTGTGTGAAAGTATAGCGTCTACAAACTACGGTAAACATATTGGAATTTACGTAGCTTTTACTTTCTGACTGCCTATAACATTTCTTGAGGTGCTAAAATGCCAGGGAAGTACAAACCCTCCTTTTTGGAAAGCAGACACCCCAAGAGTTTTGCAGAGAGGCATGTTGAGTCCATGTAACATTTTATTTTTTTGCCACAAATTTTTTGAATATGACAATTTTTTTTTTTTTTTAAACACAAAGTTGTGATACATTGCTCATGCATGCCATGGGTATATGTGGAATAACACCCCAAAGCACATTCTTCTACTTCTCCCGAGTATGGGGATACCACATGTGAGACTTTTTGTCAGCCTAGTTACATACAAGCCCCCAAAATCCAATGACCACCTCCAGGGCATATTTCCTCATATCACCTCCCCACTACCTATCACAGTTTCAGAGGCTTTAAAATGCCAGGATAGTACAAACACCCCCCCCCCCCAAATGACCCCTTTTTGGAAAGAAGACACCACAAGGAATTTGGTAAGAGGCATGGTGAGTAATTTACAGATATCATTTCTGTCACAGGGTTTTGAAAAAGAAAAAATATTTTTTTTTTTTGTTTTCTTTCTTTGTTTTTCCAAAAACATGTGGCAACAAATGATGTCTGCAAAGCACTCTCCATGCCTCTTAGCAAATATCTATCTAAATGTCTATTTTCCAAAAAGGGGTGATTTGGGGGGTTGCTTTTACTATCCTGGCATTTCCCCCCCCCCCCCCCCCCCCCCCCCCCCCACCAATGACCCATTTTTGAAAAATAGACACCCCAAGTAATTTGATAAGAGGCGTGGTGAGTATTTTACAGATATCATTTTTGTCACAGGGTTTTGAAAAATAAAAAAAGAAAAGTGAAAAAAAGTTTTTGGTTTCTTTCTTTGTTTTCCAAAAACAAGTGGCAACAAATTAGATCAGCAAAACACTCAGCAGTCTCTGAGCGGCTCCTGCAGCACGTCCGCAGTCTCTGAGCAGCTCCTGCAGCACATACGCAGTCTTTCACCATGTCCTGTATAAAGTCTGCAGGCAGTCTCTGACCATCTCCTGCAGAATGCCTGAAGCCTCTGACCGTCTCCTGCAGAATGCCTGCAGCCTCTGACCGTCTCCTGCAGAATGCCTGCAGCCTCTGACCGTCTCCTGCAGAATGCCTGCAGCCTCTGACCGTCTCCTGCAGAATGCCTGCAGCCTCTGACCGTCTCCTGCAGAATGCCTGCAGCCTCTGACCGTCTCCTGCAGAATGCCTGCAGCCTCTGACCGTCTCCTGCAGAATGCCTGCAGCCTCTGACCGTCTCCTGCAGAATGCCTGCAGCCTCTGACCGTCTCCTGCAGAATGCCTGCAGCCTCTGACCGTCTCCTGCAGAATGCCTGCAGCCTCTGACCGTCTCCTGCAGAATGCCTGCAGCCTCTGACCGTCTCCTGCAGAATGCCTGCAGCCTCTGACCGTCTCCTGCAGAATGCCTGCAGCCTCTGACCGTCTCCTGCAGAATGCCTGCAGCCTCTGACCGTCTCCTGCAGAATGCCTGCAGCCTCTGACCGTCTCCTGCAGAATGCCTGCAGCCTCTGACCGTCTCCTGCAGAATGCCTGCAGCCTCTGACCGTCTCCTGCAGAATGCCTGCAGCCTCTGACCGTCTCCTGCAGAATGCCTGCAGCCTCTGACCGTCTCCTGCAGAATGCCTGCAGCCTCTGACCGTCTCCTGCAGAATGCCTGCAGCCTCTGACCGTCTCTTGTAGCATGCCTGCAGCCTCTGACCGTTTCCAGTAGCATGCCTGCAGCCTCTGACCGTCTCCAGTAGCATGTCTGCAGCCTTTGACCGTCTCCTGTAGCATGTCTGCAGCCTCTGACCGTCTCCTGTAGCATGTCTGCAGCCTCTGACCGTCTCCTGTAGCATGTCTGCAGCCTCTGACCGTCTCCTGTAGCATGTCTGCAGCCTCTGACCGTCTCCAGTAGCATGTCTGCAGTCTCTGACCGTCTCCAGTAGCATGTCTGCAGTCTCTTACCGTCTCCAGTAGCATGTCTGCAGTCTCTGACCGTCTCCAGTAGCATGTCTGCAGTCTCTTACCATCTCCAGTAGCATGTCTGCAGTCTCTGACCGTCTCCAGTAGCATGTCTGCAGTCTCTGACCGTCTCCTGTAGTATGTCTGCAGTCTCTGACCGTCTCCTGTAGTATGTCTAGCACTAAAGAATATGCGCAACCCTCACATCAAGGTCATTATTGGCTGCCTGCTCTGCTGTATATAGGGGCTCCTCATATTTACAGCCTGAGCCTTTGATTGGCTGCCAACAACCCATAGCTTTTTATTATTGGTTGAATCTGAGAAGATATCTCTTGACCTACCTGCTATCAACATCACTTGTTCCAACATAAGCCTCAGGTTCAAATGTCTCTTGGAGAAATCGATCCCAACATTCCTTCTTTGCCTGGCCTAAAGAATGCAACATTTCTTTGGAGGTCACTTCATGGGTCTGACCTTTAATTTTCTGTAACCTGCGTTCTGAAGACAGAGAAACAAGTTTACTACAGTAAAATGACTAGAAATCACCTACACTAGCACACAAATAATGCGTAGAGCAGTTTTTCCAAAACTAACGGCAGGAATAGTCACCTATTCTCCAACGGTCAGTTCCCATGAGGTCCCTTACCGGCATCTTCTGGGTACCTGTCTTCGGCCATCTTGATTGGCCGGTGTAGTATGACATCACTCCAGTGCATGTGTAAGAGTCATTCCTCCCACCACACTGGTACTGTACCAGAAATGTAAACAAAGCAGAGCATGTGCAGCTTCATGTACATTCTTCAGAGGATTGTGAACAGGCAGGCAAGTGTATTTTACTGCAGAAGAGACTTTGCATGTCTCTTCTGCAAAATAAAGGGCCTGCCTGCAATTTTTTAATTTTTGCATTTAGTTCTGCTTTAACCAGGGTTTCTCCAGAAGTTCCCAGAGGCTGCATAAAGTGGTATTAAACACAAAAACAAAAGAGTAACACATAGCAGCTTAACAATTCTTAGATGTAGTGGCTGCTTTAGTTTTCTTTTTTTGCTTTATTTTCATTGAATCGCCAAGTGAAAATAAAGGAAGAAACAATAAACTAAAAAAAAAAAAAAAAAAAAAAGCAATTGCAGCCACCACATTTAACCACTTGCCCTCCTGAGGATTTACCCCCCTTCCTGACCTGGCCTCTTTTTGCTACTCGGCACTGCACTAATTCAACTAATAATTGCGCAGTCATGCAATGCTGCACCCAAACAAAATTTACGGCCTTTTTTTCACACAAATAGAGCTTTCTTTCGGTGGTATTTGATCACCTGTGCGCTTTTTATTTTTCACACTATATACAAAAAAAAGACAAAATTTTGAAGAAAAACAATATTTTTTACTTTCAGCTATAAAAAAAAGATAGTAAACTCAAAGTTACCATATTTTCCGGCGTATAAGACGACTTTTTACCCCTTGAAAATCTTCTCAAAAGTCGGGGGTCGTCTTATACGCCGGTAACGGCATGCTGACACTTTTTAGGGGGGCGGCCCCCCCCTTCCAAGGGACACTAAATACAGGGGTGGGCAGGGGCTGCTGTCTCTTACCTGGCTCCATTCCCACGACGATCCGGTCCAGGAAGCGCGGCTGCTCCTTCCTTCGGTTCGTCCACTGGATGTTTGCGCGGCTGCTCGGCTCCGCCTCCTCACCGGTGATTGGCCGCCAGAACTGTAGCTCAGGAAAGGCACACAGGCGGCCAATCACCGGCGAGGAGGCGGAGCTGAGCGGCCCCGCGAAAATAGAGTGGAGATGCAGGTAAGTGTGCCGTGCTTAGGTGCTGCTGCAACCACATATGCTGGCTGCAGCAGTGTCGTACTGGAACAGGGGTCAGCAAGTGTCAGTGGGAGGAATAGTGTCACTGATACCAATGATGGGGCATTATTCCTCCCACTGACACCAACGATGGGGCACTATTCCTCCCCCCCCCCACTGACACCAACGATTGGGCACTATTACTCCCCCCCCACTGACACCAATGATGGGGCACTATTCCACCCCCCACTGACACCAATGATGGGGCACTATTCCACCCCCCACTGACACCAATGATGGGATACTATTCCTCCCCCCCCACTGACACCAACGATGGGGCACTATTCCTCCCCCCCCCCACTGACACCAATGATGGGATACTATTCCTCCCACTGACACCAAAGATGGGGCACTATTCCACTGACACCAATGATGGGGTGCTATTCCCCCAATGATACTAATGATGGGGCACTATTCCTGCCACTGATACCAATGATGGGACACTATTCCTCCCACTGATACCAATGATGGGGCACTATTCCTCCCACTGATACTAATGATGGGGCTTTATTCCTCCCACTGACACCAATGATGGGACACTATTCCTCCCACTGACACCAATGATGGGGCACTATTCCTCCCACTGATACCAATGATGGGGCACTATTCCTCCACACTGATACCAATGATGGGGCACTATTCCTCCCACTGATACCAATGATGGGGCACTATTCCTCCCACTGATACCAATGATGGGGCACTATTCCTCCCACTAATACCAATGATGGGGCACTATTCCCGCCACTGATACTATTGATGGGGTGCTATTCCTGCCACTGATACCAATGATGGGGCACTATTCCTCCCACTGATACCAATGATGGGACACCATTCCTCCCACTGATACCAATGATGGGGCACCATTCCTCTCACTGACACCAATGATGGGGCACTATTCCTGCCACTGATACCAATGATGGGGCACTATTCCTCCCACTGATACCAATGATGGGGCACTATTCCTCCCACTGATACCAATGATGGGGCACTATTCCTCCCACTGATACCAATGATGGGGCACTATTCCTCCCACTGATACCAATAATGGGGCACTATTCCTCCCACTAATACCAATGATGGGGCACGATTCTTCCCACTGGTGTGCACTGAAAGAGGGGTAGTCTTATACGGCGAGTATAGCCCAAACACTACATTTTAAACAGGAAAAGTAGGGGGTCGTCTTATACGCCGGAAAATACGGTAGTTATAAATTTAGGCCAAAATGTATTCTGCTACATGTTTTTGGTAAAAAAAAAATCCCAATAAGTGTATATTGATTGCTTTGTGTGAAAGTTATAGTGTCTACAAACTATGGTATAGATACTGCAATTTACGCCTTTTTTTGGCTATACAGCGCTGCACTAGTTTAGCGGACAATTGCGTGGTCATGCAATACGGTACATAAATGAAATTTACATCCTTTTTTTCCCACAAATTGAGCTTTCTTTCGGTGGTATTTGATCGCCTGTGCGTTTTTTATTTTTTGCGCTATAAAAAAAAAAAAACTGACAATTTTGAGAAAAAAAACAATATTTTGGACTTTTTGCTATAAAACATGTCCAGTAAAAAAAATGTAAAAATCAAATTTAGTCATAAATTTCTGCCAAAATGTATATTCTGCGACATGTCTTTGCTTAAAAAAAATCCCAATACGTGTAAATTAATTGGTTTATGTGAAAGTTATAGCGTCTACAAATGGCGGGAAAGATACTGGGATTTTTTTTACTAGTGGGCGGGGGTGTGTACTTCACAGGAACACGCTGATCCTGAGAAATAAAGTCTTCTCTCAGGTTTAGCGTGTTATGAACTGACAGATAGCAGAGGTGCAATGTAAACACTGCAGCCGTGCTGTCAGTGATTACTTGTAATCGCCAGCACCTGGCGGGAAATGACCCGCCGGGAGCCGGCGATGGACACCCGCTGCCGCGATCGTCGGGAGGGGTAGGGCGGGCACGCACCCCCTACCTGTTTTGCAAAGCAACGTTAAAAGACCGCTGTGCGTACAGGTGCCGCCCTGCTGCAGTAAAAACGGTTAAAGAATAAATTCACTTATGAACAAAAAAAAAAAAAAATGCACATCTTTTTGCAGGTAGAAAAATGTGCATTTATTATTTGTTATTTATTAGGAGCCTGTAAAGCATTACACCCGCAATCTGCTGATTGCGGGTGCAAGGCAAGGCTCCTACAGACTGTCAGTGTAGTTCACTGAAAACTACAAGCCATCAGCCACAAAGGCTGACAGTAGTTGTCTTCTTTCCATTCACAGAACTGTGAATGAACGACACGGCAGAGCGGGCAGGTGGAGCCTCGCACGCCCAAATTTTTTAAAATATTGTGACAGCGAGTTTGGGGAGAAGAACCCCGGCTTGCTGTCACAAGAGGCAGCAGATTGGGGAGAGGCTGCACCAGTGGAAACATGTTACATGTTCCACCCTAAAAAGAGGTAGAACATGTAACAAGTTCCTGAAGGTGAACTTATCATTTAAGCATTAGTAAGCTGCAATGTATTGTATATTTGCCCTTTCACACTTAGCGTGAGTGTAGTCAGGCATTTTTTACTTTGTTCACACATTTTTCATGCAATTTGTAATACAGGAGCAGAATTGTGTTTTGGGCCCCCATAGACTTTTTAGAAGCACATGATGGGGCATTTTTCAGCTGCTCTCATTAAAGTCTCTGGGGCCACAACTACATGATTCTGCCCCAAAGAAGCTCATTGCATGAAGATGTAACAGAATGTTGCAGTATATTTAGGTTCAGTTTACATAACATTTTAGATGTCAGCAAGGTTTATTTACTAAACCTGGAGAGTGCAAAATCTGGTGCAGCTGTGCATTGTAGCCGATCACCTTAGAAAACTTTAGGTTGTTCAATTAAGCTTTGACAAAAAAAGCCAATTGGTTTCTATGGAGAGCTGCACCAGATTTTGCCCTCTGCAGTTTTAGTAAATCAACCCTGCTGTACCTAAAAAAAAATAATAAAGTGATGACTCCTAATGTTTAGGAGTGGAGTCTAAGGGCTGAGAGAACCATTCAATTTCAATCAGTTGCTATGGAGAGATTTAACTGCATATTGGCAGTGACCTCATTTACACAGAAGACTTTTAAGGGGGAAGCATGATTATTCTCAAATCTTACTTGCGCTGGGTGTTACTGGCTCAAAGCACTGATGCAAAAAGCTCAGTCAGGCAACTAGCATTTCCTGCACATTAAAGGAGCTCTATAGCATCCTTTCTCAACCAGGGTGCCCAGGCACCCTGGGGTGTCTTGAGGTTTCTTCAGGGGTGCCTTAGCAAAATGTCTAAAAATTGGTCAAAACTTGTATGCAAGCCAGTGGGTGGAACAAGCCTGCCTTTTAGTTACACAAAGCCACAGATTTTCATTGTGCACCATTACGACCATCTAGCCACTAGCGTCCTGGCAACCAATGACCTCATCAGTTGTTAAGGAGGATGTCGGTTGCCTGTACAGCATCCTAGTTAGGCCCTCCCCTGCTCCTTTCCATCATTGCTGGGATCACATTACCTCAGTGATAAAAACTGAGGGAGAAGAGAAACATTGGAATAATACTCAGTAGCAGTGTGCAAAAGTGTATTTGCTTTAGAATAATACATCGCCTCTAATGTTGGGTGTGCTACATGTGTGGATGTTGCTGCGTAATATAAAAAAAACTATTAGAATAGTTTTCACATTTTAGAATGGGTGCCCTTTTAAAATTATGGACAGTCTAGAGGCACCCTATTTTAGAATGTGGTGCCTCAAGACTGTCCATAATTTTAAAGGGTGCCTCGGAACTGTCCATAATTTTAAAGGGTGCCTTGACTGAAAAAAGGTTGAGAAACACTGCTCTATAGTCACAGCATAAACCTTAATTTTATCAAATCAGTATTGTAATATCAACACAAACAATAGTTATTTTTCACAATTCGGTATAATCTCCTTTTATGTTCTGCCGGTCCACTGGTCTTCTCTTTGCACAGCCTCATGGATACCCTGCATGCTTTTCAGCTTCTCCTCCACTGTTTAATATCTATTTCTAAGGACTACCTATCCCATAGTATGGCGCATTGGAGGCGTGACAGGGGGCAATCTCTCTTTGTAGGGACCCGTTGTAGATGGAATGTAAATGGAGTTATATTCCAATTGAATATGTTGATAAATTTGTTGCTAAATAAAGAGAATGTATGTGTCCTGATTAAATTGGAGTTTTTTGCTAAACAAATCACCTAAGAAACTTACCACAATCTTGTCGAAGAGTACTACCAATTGCTGAACAACTGGGTTTGCCCTCCGCCCCCATGAGTACTGACACCATATATGACCCCTAACATAGCGGTTCCTGTTGAGAATTTCTGTGCTCACCCCCGTGGGTTCTTTGTGTTGAAGGTCTACCTTTCTCCCCCCTTTTTTTTCCCATGGAGGTCTTGGTCAAGCGAAATCTGCTACTTTAAGAATTGAACCTTGGAGTCCTCCTGAAGAAGCAGGCCTTGCAGAGCCCCCTGATACCATTTCTGGCATGTCTAAGCCATTGGGAAGTCTTTAGTATTTTAACTGCAATATATTTTTGTATTTTTAAACTAAGCTTTGTTAATAAAAAGTTAGTAAAAATATTTTAGTATGTTGTCTGTGCATAATAATAAAGTCCAGAGTTTCATTTTCTCTCTTCTCCATCCCCCCACCCAGCTTTCAGGGGTGAGATATTGGTTTCCCATGGTATTTTGCTGCTTGCAAGCTGTGATTGCTGTACTGACTCTGCCTCCTAAAACACCTCCTCTTCAGAATTTCTGTAGCAGGCTCTGTGATCTGTGTGACATAGCAGTGCCTATTCAAGAATTCAAAGAACTAAAATGTGTGGAGACGTTCACAAAATAAATTTATAAACTTCAAGATTGTTCAGATTAATAGGAGTAGGCTAGGCAGCTTTTTTCAACTGGGGTGCCTTCTGGGTTCTTCAGGGGTGCCTTGGCAAACTACCTAAAATTAGCTCCAAATCGGAAAAAATTGTATACAGGGCAGTGGCTGGATCAAGCCTACTTTTTTGTTACACAAAGCCACAGGTTTCCTAACAATCATTGATGTCATTAGTTGATAAGGAAGACATCGGGCACCTGCATACCATCCTTGTTTGACCCTCCACCCTTCTCCATCAGTATTGGGCTCATGTTAGCAGCATAGGGGAGAGAAAATGAGGAACAAGAAATGCTGGAATACTGGTCAATACCAGTGTGCAAAAAAATGTATTTGCTTTGAAATAAGTCAGCGCTAATGTTGGGTGTCTTAAGTGTGTAGATACTGCTGGGTTATGCAAAACAATTAGGTAAGTTTTTTTACAGTTTAGAATGGGGTACCTCAAGATTATCCATAATTTTAAAGGGTGCCTTGACTAGAAAAAGGTTGAGAAACACTGGACTAGAGATAATTTAAATACAATGTGGAAATGAATATGATATTAAAGTTTGGCCATAAATACACTTTACATGCCAGCTGTGGCAGATTTCATGTTTGGGAAAGGTCTCTTCTAAAGTAAATCTGTGCTCACTACAGCTTTAGTAGAATAACTTGCTTGGTAGTAGACACCCCAATATGCCTTCAACTTTACCATGTTACCCTCAAATCCCAGATCTGCTGCTGTGGTCGGTGCGTACCAATAAAGTCCTGAGTTTCTGTTTTTCTCTTCTCCATCACCCCACGCAGCTTTCAGGGGTGAGATATCTGTTTCCCATGGTATTTTGCTGCCTGTAAGCTGTGATTCTACGCTATCTACTATGCAAATAATGCACACTTCTTGCACTGGGCTCAATTAAAGCTAACAACCAGGATAAAGACAATTCTTTTTAAAACATTATTTTTAGTTAGATCTGAACTAAACTCACTGCCCTTTACTCCCTGATTGGCACCAGCATCTTCACCAGGTCTTCTTCTGGGTTGAGGATCTTTGGCCATCTTGATTGGCTGGGCTGGAATGATGTAACTCCCACACATGTATGAGAGTTCGTTCATTCATTCAGGCACCAAGGTGTGCAATATAAACAAAAAAATTACAGAGCTCTGCTTTGTATACAAAAGTTACCTGACAAGGCATCTCATTACTGAAAGCTGATAAATTTTGGAATAAACTTAGTGTTACTAAACCCACAAGAGTAAAATCATTCTGTATCTGCATAACCATGGCACTTTTACAATGCACTTCTATGCTTGAAAACAGTCCAGCAGTCCAGAAACTTATCGGTAAGTCAACAATCTGATGATCAAACAGGTACTTTGTTTTCTATGAATGCATGAATAGCAACTAACTTTAGTCCACTTACTTTATTGTGAGTTTAATGCCTTGTAGCATTTGATTAATCGAGGCTATCAGGATGATTGTGACTAGAACTTTAATCCTGCACTAAATGTCTTTCTAATGGACCACAGTCTTTTTAATTACAATGGGACATTCCTGTGGCATGCATAATTGATATAATTCCCCAAAGCTCAAATGGTTGGAATTAGGGAATGCATGGGCTGGAGAATCCCAACATCCAAAACACTTAAGATGTTAGCATTTAAAGAATTTCCATTGACGATTGACTAGATGCACTAAAGTAATGCCAAGGTTAAAATATTTAATAAGGGGCTGGAACCTCAGTTACAAAAAAGGTCTATAAACATTAAACTTATTCTCCCTGGAAAAGAGGCACTTAACAGGCAATACGATCGCCATAAACAAATATTTTACTGGTGATTGTAGCATCGGGAGAAAACAGTTTATTCTAAGGTCTCTGAAAACGTGTCACAAATTAGCCTGCAGTTTCTTGCTTGTGTATTCTTACCACTTTCCTGCCCCGATTCCTTTCACATGTGTGGTTTGGCTGTGCTCACCTATGGGTGTTGCTGCTATTCTGTGAGTTTATTTCCTTCCCTTCCATCATTTCCTGGCCCACCTCCTAGTTTGCTTGCCCAAGACATACTCAGTCTAGCCCACATTGCCTGAGCAACTTCACAGTTCTCTGAGCTCCCGTTCATTGTTACTTGTGTATCTTGTGCCTGACTACATGCCTGGCTTCGTTCATTGTCTGTGCTTGTTTGCTACCCATCCTGACCTCAGCTAGTCTCCTGCATTTCCTCTTGTCTCCTGCTGGTTGGTTGCAGTCTGCACACGCGAGTGGTCTCTGCATCCTCAGCTGATCGTACCTGGGGGCCGCAACCTGGTTCCAGCTTGCTGGAAGTCCACCCCCACCATCATGGGCTCTGGTGAAAAAGACTGGGGCTTAGACTCCGCACCCTAGCGAATCCCGAGTTGTTGATATACTAGGGCTCACTACCTAGACACTTGACAAGATATGCGGCCAAACAAATGAATTCGATGAGAAGCAACTCAAGCTTAAATTGCTTATTTGTGCTGGAGACTGCGCTGGACTGCCTAGAACAGTCGATGGTCATGGGTGGGTGATTGTGTGGGCAAAGAGTAAGAAATTTCTTCCAGTAGGTCGTGCCCAATGGTGGATCGTGGTGGTGGACCCTCTTAGGGGCTTGGGCTGCTACCTTTCCGATACGTTTCTGATACGGCTTTATGGTCGTTTCAGCTAGAAGTCTTGAGTAAGGTAGAAGGAGCGCCCAGTGTCCAGAAAACTGCAACTATACATTAAACCATACATCCAAGTTGCACTTCCTAGACACTGGGTGTTCCTTCTATACTACCCAATGTTAAATTATGTAAGGTAATCTTTACTTTTAGAAATGTGGAATCCCCTTCCACAGTTAGTAGTCTCAATGGAGAAAGTATACAACTTAAAAAACTATTAGATGGGTTTCTCAAGCGAACACAATATACAGGAACATGAGGATTCATAGCGACTTGTGCACACACAAATTGAACTGGAAGGATTTGTGTCTTCATTCAACCTTACCAACTATGTAAAGAAAAATACCAGAAGATAAGCTGTGTTTCTATGCCAAATGTTCAGACTTGGAGTACAGCTGTACAGTTTTCTGTCTGCTGATATGAAATCTATGTGCTAGCAATTTAAATATGAATGCTGGAAATTCTAAATTTATACCAAACAGAATAACTAAATCAGTAGACAATCACATATCTACTCACCTAGAGATGCCAAGTATACTTCAGAGTCTTGTAATGGAGCCATGGTTTTTGACTGCAATTGTGAGAGTTATATTCAGATTCGCTTCTGTTATTATTAGGGTTGAGTTCATCAGTCATAGGGCCAAGAAAAGAATCTGAAAAGGTTTCTTCAGGACTTAGATCCTGTGTGTCTGGAGCACATGGACAAATCTCAGCCCACATATCCTGGCTGGACACAGAAGCGCTGCAATCTAGGCTCTCCAACATCCTCATTGGGACAGAATAATCTGCAAAAGAAAAAAGTAAATATGTTCACAATATACAATACATTTTTATGTACAGAAAATATAATAAACATTCCACTCTTTTATATTCTCTCCTTTAACCCCTTCACGCAGGCCGCACGCAAATGTGCGGCCTCACGGCATCTTGGCCTAGACGCCGAACGGCCACACATTTGCCTTCAAAATACATATGTGCTGAGAGCGCGCGCCCTGCGTGCTCCCAGCACACATGTAAGGTACTCACGAAAAGGTCCCGGTCTCCTCTTGCGATCGGGACCTTTCCCAATCATGTGACCGGCCATGACATCATGGCAGCCACATGACACTAAGCCCCGCCCACCTCCCGGCGCAGGAACTCCTCTTCACACCAGGACAATCCGGCGTGAAGGTGTTAACCTAAGGCCTAAGACTATGCACTCTTTACATCTGGAGGAAAAGAGATTTAATCTCCAAATACGGAAAGGTTCCTTCACAGTAAGAGCTGTGAGAATGTGGAACAGACTCCCTCAAGACTTGGTTCTGGCCAGCTCAGTGGATTGCTTCAAAAAAGGCCTGGATTATTTCCTAGATACACAGAATATAACTGGTTACTAACATTTATATTACCTAGGGAATCCATGGAAATATCAGATTTCCTCTCGGGGGATCAGGAAGGAATTTTTTTTTCCCCTGCAGGAAAAAATTGGATCATGCTTTGCTGGGGGTTTTTTTCCTTCCTCTGGATCAATTGTGGGTATAGGATAACTTTTTTTTTTTGGTTGAACTGGATGGACTTTTGTCTTTTTTCAGCCAGACTAACTATGTAACCATGTGGTGATCTTCTTAGGGTCAAGGAAGCTGATTATCCAGTCTTGGAAAAAGACTTCAGCACCATCGTTAGCTGCCTAAAAATCATTGGTGAACGAGGGTCTACCACTGTACATGGCCACCTATATCAACAGGGGCGTACCTCTTAAATTTAATAAGGTTGGGGTGGACAGTTTTCCTCTACCTATGCGTGATGTCTTTAATAAAGACAATAATTGGTAAAATGTGACATCAGTTCATAGTGACATAACAACCAATATGATATATATAAAAAGTCTTTAAATTATTCAAATAAATTGCGCCAGTTATCCTGCGAACTTCCGTCAATGGTAATATGTGCTCGTGACTTCAGTGATATGAAGAAAAAAAAAGGGGTGTGCTTGCACTCACTAGACGTATAGTAATAATGCGCATATGTTAGTAGTCATCTAGGACCCAATGGATGAGTGACACTCCAATGGCACTGGAAACACAACCTGGGTAAAACCTCCAGACCTCTCAGTGACTCCTTTCAAAGGATGCGGACTCCTCGCTGTCTTTAATACCCAGTAGTAGATAGACTTGGCAGGAACACCACCTTTAGTAGCTCAAAATAAAGCCACCAAAAACAAAGGGCTAATATAGTGTAGCAATTTTTTATTTTCCAATAATGGTGTGTAAATTAGAGCAGCATATCAAACGATATGCTCTGATAACAGTCCAAAGCCATAAGCAAACATTGGTGGGTAACAACAGCTACAAATAGATAAATGGTAGTAAAAATGTAGCCAGTATCTGTGATTGTATGCAAGTCTGGAACCAAAATGACCGCTGGTGTAGCACATGGCTTTCAGCAGCTCACAAAAATGAAATAGGACGTCGGTGCGGCAAGCTAATACTCTGACGCGTTTCGTGCAATGGAACATTGTCAAAGGGTAGCTTGCCGCCATTGCTGTGCATCCTTATATATGCACTGCGTATGCGCGAACTGGACGGCATGTTCCGCGCATGCGCAAACCGGGCGCCATTTTGCAGGAGTCCGGCAAACCACTGACATTGCCCCGACCAATAACACAGCTGACTGCTAATGAGACAATCAGCTGTATACGGCGGACCCGTGACAGGACAAGAAAAACAACATGATTGTGCAAGGGGAATATATGTTGCATTATCAGTATAAAAAATGAGTTACAAAAAAGGAGAATTTAAACATTAAATGTTTAAGGCTGCCATTAAACTATAGCCTGTACAGTGGGGCAAAAAAGTATTTAGTCAGCCACCAATTGTGCAAGTTCTCCCACTTAAAAAGATGAGAGAGGCCTGTAATTGGCATCATAGGTAGACCTCAACTATGAGAGACAAAAATCCAGACAATCACATTGGCTGATTTGGAAAGAATTTATTTGCAAATTATGGTGGAAAATAAGTATTTGGTCAATATCAAAAGTTCATCTCAATACTTGTTATATATCCTTTGTTGGCAATGACAGAGGTCAAACGTTTCCTGTAAGTCTTCACAAGGTTGGCACACACTGTTGCTGGTATGTTGGTCCATTCCTCCATGCAGATCTCCTCTACAGCAGTGATGTTTTAGGGCTGTCGCTGGGCAACACGGACTTTCAACTCCCTCCAAAGGTTTTCTATGGGGTTGAGATCTGGAGACTGGCTAGGCCACTCCAGGACCTTGAAATGCTTCTTACGAAGCCACTCCTTCGTTGCCCGGGTGGTATGTTTGGGATAATTTTCATGTTGGAAGACCCAGCCATGTTTCATCTTCAATGCCCTTGCTGATGGAAGGAGGTTTGCACTCAAAATCTCACGATACATGGCTCCATTCATTCTGTCCTGTACATGGATCAGTGGTCCTGGTCCCTTTGCGGAGAATCAGCCCCAAAGCATGATGTTGCCACCACCATGCTTCACAGTAGGTATGGTGTTCTTTGGATGCAACTCAGCATTCTCTCTCCTCCAAACACGAAAAGTTGTGTTTCTACCAAACAGTTCTATTTTGGTTTCATCTGACCATATGACATTCTCCCAATCCTCTTCTGGATCATCCAAATGCTCTCTAGCAAACTTCAGACATGTACTGGCTTAAGCAGAGGGACACGTCTGGCACTGCAGGATCTGAGTCCCTGGCGGCGTAGTGTGTTACTGATGGTAGCCTTTGTTACGTTGGTCCCAGCTCTCTGCAGGTCATTCACTAGGTCCCCCCCAGTGTGGTCCTGGGATTTTTGCTCACCGTTCTTGTGATCATTTTGACCCCACAGGGTGAGATCTTGCATGGAGCCCCAGATCGAGGGAGATTATCAGTGGTCTTGTATGTCTTCCATTTTCTAATTATTGCTCCCACAGTTGATTTGTTCACACCAAGCTGCTTGTCTATTGCAGATTCAGTCTTCCCAGCCTGGTGCAGGTGTACAATTTTGTTTCTGGTGTCCTTCGACAGCTCTTTGGTCTTCACCATAGTGGAGTTTGGAGTGTGACTGTTTGAGGTTGTGTGGACAGGTGTCTTTTATACTGATAACAAGTTCAAACAGGTGCCATTGATACAGGTAATGGAGTGCAGGACAGAGGAGCCTCTAAAAGAAGAAGGTACAGGTCTTTGAGAGCCAGAAATCTTACTTATTTGTAAATAATAAAATAAATTATTTCCAAATCAGCCAATGTGATTGTCTGGATTTTTTTTCTCATTTTGTCTCTCGTAGTTGAGGTCTACCTATGATGCCAATTACAGGCCTCTCTCATCTTTTTAAGTGGGAGAACTTGCACAATTGGTGGCTGACTAAATACTTTTTTGCCCCACTGTATGTCACCATCGCACTTTATTATGAGCGCTGCATTTCTTTGGTATTATATTTAGGATTTCAGGGGTTAATCTCATGCAAGCTGCTTTTTGATGTCTTAAAGCGCTCGCTATATCACTTTTTATTTCCTCTACCTGGACTGCCTCTGATTAGAGTCAAATCATGTGCTCCTTTCATTCTGGTTATTTAGTTTTATTGTTCATTGGTATTGGCCTTAAATGTTGACATTTACTCTGGTCATGATGTTTGGTACTTGTAATACTGGTATCTAATTCCATGTGGATGGCCTTGGATTGGGTTATTTCTTTTGTTTGCCTGACCTTATTTGAATTTACAGGGTTTAGCTCGTAAGTGAGAGGTAAAATCATTTGGCATTTTGACCTATACCTTTGGATGGAGGTTGTGCAGTACCAGTCACAGAAGTTAGTTTTGTTGCCTACTTTGTGTATAGACTTTTTGATACATGAAACAAAAATACTAAAAAGTAGAAAAAAGTTGATACCTGGCTGAATACAAACCCTCAGGTCTAGCTTTGCTTGTGATGTGATGGAGGGCTATAACCCCTGTCAGATTTTTTTTTTTCACAAATTTGTGTCCCATTTTAGAAATTTCACTTCCAAACATGAAATGAAAGGAAATCCCTACAAATTAATGGAATCCCTTGGGGTCCCCAGAACTAGTGTTCCCATTGGAAGATTTCCCCCTCTATCACTTTCCTAGGGACAACCCCAAAATTCCAATTTTCTTTATTTTCACTTTCAATGATAATGGCAAACAGGACAAATAGAGAAGATGAATCTCCTTAACAGGGACACAGAAAGCAATAAAAATTACAGGGGTTATGATCCCTCTCCACTTATATATATATATATATATATATAAAAAAAAAGTTTTGCCTATAGTCAAACATTAAAAAGAACATTGGCTACAACATGAAAAGGCCACCATGGTGATACAAACATTCTTCCTACTCCAGTGGCTGAATCCTACATCCAAGTTCAGAGAGCCCCACAACTCTTATTTATTTAATTTTTTTTTTTCTTAAATGTATGATGTGGGCGTGTACATGCTACAAATTAGGAATGCACCGATATATCGGCGACAAAAATGTATCGTCCGAGAATAGTGTTATCAGCATTGCAGATAGGAAAAAAGGTGCCGATATTGGCTCTCTTCTCTGTTTTTATTATAAAAGAAAAAGTGTCAAGGCAACTCACATGCAAAGTCACGTCCCATAGACTTCAATGCAAAAGAGGCCCCTAGTGACTTCACTGCAAAATTGCGTCCCATAGACTTCATTGCAAAAACACCCCCTAGTGACTTTAATGCAAAATCACATTCCCAATAACTTCAGTACAAGAACACGTCCCATTTACGTCAATGCAAAGACACCTCC